TTACAGGAATCTCCCCAGCTGGTCAGCTTTTGTCTGAGAAAATCTAGATAAAGTTGTGCGCTGTGTTTTGCAAGGGTGGCTCCTAATTACGGTAGAATTAGAAGAACTAGTAAAATGCAAGTAGTCCATTCTTCCAGTGACCCTTTGAAGTTACAAGAGCCCTGGGAAAAAAAGCGACTTAGGACTGTTTTTCACACTTTATGACCACTGCAGCATTCCCATGGTCACATGATCAAAATTTGAACGGCAGGCATCTGGCATGTATTTTTGACAGTCGCAGTCATAAGTAAAGGACTATCTATAGGTCATATGTTTGGAGAACTGAGTTCAGTGCTTTGCAGTGTTACAGATTTATTTGCAGATGCCTGACTTAGCATGAGAGGCGAAAGGTTTTTGTCTCAGTTCCCCATAACAATTAATCACCGTGAACCCGGTAAGTTTGTAGTCCCATGAGGCACAATAATAAACAGCATCATCTTCCACTTGAACTCCGTTGATCACCAGATTCCAGAGGTTCTGGGAGGCATCAGGGAAAACGCTGAATCTCTCTGGGACCCCATCTCCCCTGCCCTGATCACTGCTAGTATAATAGTGATACAGAAATCGTGGGACACCCCCTGTTTTCTGTTGGAGCCACCTGGCTCTCTCGCGGTCAATGGTGTAGCCACTGTTCATTCTACAAGGGATGCTAAATGCTAATCCTGGAGATGCAGACATGGAGGACGGTTGAGTTAATATCATCTGGGACTCCGAACCTGAAACAAAACAAAAATGGGGAAGTATATTAGTGTATCTTCTGGATGGATCTTGATGGAACAGACAAGCATCTTCTGCCTCCTTTGAAGACCTTCAACCAGCGGTCTGGACTCACCTGAGAAGAGCCATCCCAGCAATATAACAGAGTAGGCCCACAGCATTGTAAAAGGGATGTGGACACTGTTGGTTTCTCATGCTTCTCTTCCCTTCCAAATGTCTTAAATTGAATCCATGGAAGCAAATTCTCCACTGTTTATGCAAATATCATCAGCTGAACGGTGTTTGGCTCTCTGCTGCACCCTTCTGATGTCACAGGATGACTCTTGGAGGACTTAGATTTAAGTCCTCAGTCTACTTAAACTGCTCCACACTCAGAAATCTGTGATGGTTATTAAAAAAAAAAAACCATTATTCTGTGCTTATCCCCAAGGTGCTTTTCAAATGGCAACTTGACTTTCTTGGTTTTTCCTTGAAAACGTTCCATTTTTCATCCAAGAAGCTTCTTTAGTTTTTTGGAACGAGAACTCAAGAAGCTTCTTGGACGAGAAGAGGAACATTTTCAAGAAAGCCTAGTTGCCTTTTGAAAAGCACTTTTGGGACAACCGTGACCTGGATGAGTAAGAACTTCCATAGACGTGTGTTCTGTACGTGCTCAGGACTTTAGCCATTCATCCATTAGGGGACCTACTCAGGTCAGTGAGCATTGTGGGAGTCCAGTTTGTCTTTGCTGGGTTTCTCAGCAAGATGGGTGTCATGGTTTGTGGGAACGACCTTTAGAGGAGGAACGACCTCAGACTGGACATTCATCAGATAAGAGGCAGCGGAGTCCATAAGAGGAATGGGGACACTCGAAATAACTCAGAAAGGACCCTTTCTAGTTTCTTGGGCTGTAAAGGTGATGGGGGAAGAATTGTATTTTCATACTTGCCAAATTGATCTCAGCTTTGTGAGGCAGTCCCAATAAGAAACATGCCCCGTGAACAAGTTTCTTTTTATCCTAAAGTTATATTAACAGACATTGCAACCCTGAAAGCGTATTTCTCCCATGTCTTCTTCAACACACAAAGGACCCCACAATTTTTAAAATGCTTTTAAGAGATTGGGGAATGGAAACAACGGGGGTGCGAAGGTATTCCTGCTTTGTTTTTGAGGATGATTTATATTCTCTCTACATTACATAGCAGTCAAAATAATACACAGTCCATCTACCCAGGATGGCGTAACAACACGGTTTGGGTACCCTTCTGTTAGGAGGAATTTAGCCAGAGAGAAAAGATGCAATGGCTTGATTGTCGTTCATGAAATCTTCCTAGCTCTTCTTATGTAAATTTTAGTGCTCTGTTACTGTGGTTACCAGCTAAAAGCATCGGTTGGGCAATAGTGCCATCTAGAGATATATAAACCACTCCTTGCCTTATATGGAAAGTGGACCGTGGTTTGTGGTTCAGCTTGAGTAAATTGAGTCCATTCCCTTGGGAGGACGTGAGGAAGTGACAGGCCTTGTGGGGTACTTTCAGATGGGTTTACAGGAGGCCAAATAAAATGACTACAAGGAGCAAAGTAGGGTAAGATGAGACTTGAAATTGCCACATTGTCCAGGAGTAGAGTAAAATTATTCCAGCTCTATATTTCTTTATCTACCATTAGATAAAGCGAGGCAGCAAATTTTGGCTTGGTATCTGTATAACCGGCTTGATATTTGTGTATCAGTTGTAACGGGCCAATGCAACTGGCTTTGTATCTGTGGGGGAATGCAATCTGGATTCCCAAGAGCGAGGGTCTACTTTTCAAAGGGCAGTAGAGCATGGTACGTTTGGTAGGAAGGACGAGGGTCGAGCTGGCTCTTCCCTAGCAATTCCCAGAGGATATGTGTCTTGAGGCAAACAGTTGCTCTAATCTGGCAAGATTCTGTCCATAAGCAAAGAACTATAAAAAACAACAACAACCCTACTCAGAAGTCACCCCACATGGCTTTCTCGTTTCCTGGAAGAACGAAGATCCAGTATCTAAAACAGGATTGATGCCAACTAATTCTTTACCCCAAGTTGCAAAATACGAAACATCACTATTGCATCCTATCAGTTGCCCTTTCCATTATTCTCATTTGATGTCTATAACAGATTGGTAACCTGTTCACTGAAAAACACTCCAGACCTGCATATATTGAGCATTGCCTTATCATTGCCTTATCCACCTTGGTGACCTCCTTAAAAGTCAATATTTCTTGGTACTGAAAGTCCTAACAACTGTTGGGTTGGGAGAAAGCATCTTTTCTGACTTCGCTCGCAAAGAAGGACACACACACTCCCAGCGTAGTTTCTGCTACTGCACAAAGGAAAGGAAAAGGGTTTTTGTCTCACTTCCCTTTTCAATGAACAGCTGGGTCGATTGTTCCCAGTCCAAATGGCACAATAATAAGTAGCCTCGTCTTCTATCAAGGCCCCTTTGATAGTCAGGTACACTGTTTTCCCTGACAGAGAGGCAGAGAAACGGTCTGGGACACCAAGCGGTCTGAGACTGGTGTAGTAGATCACTGTCTGAGATCTTGAGTTAGGTTTCTTCTGGACCCACAAAGGATAATGTCCATCACTAATGTTTCCAGCACTGAATGTGCAAGACAAGGTGATTATTCCTCCCAAAGACACAAATTGTTTCTTCTGGACCCACAAAGGGTAGATCACTGTCGGAGATCCTGAGTTAGGTTTCTTCTGGACCCACAAAGGATAATGTCCATCACTAATGTCTCCAGCACTGAATGTGCAAGTCAAGGTGATTGTTCCTCCCAAAGACACAAATTCTGGGTCCTTCTGGCTCTCTAGTTGCTGGACACTAGGACCTATAAAACAACAAGGACATGGTTGAATTGTTGAGGCTGCAACTGACCAGCCGTGTAGGTTTGTGCCTTTGTATGCATTAGGTCCAGATAATGTTCCACCAAAAGAAATTTCGCTCACCAATGGAGATCCAGATTGGGAAGAGAAGCAGCAGCCATGACATCGTGGACAAAGATGAAGAGTTAAAACTCTTCTTGGTGCCAAGAGTTCTCTCCTTGTCCTCCTATCACTATCTCTTAAATCCACAGAGAACTGCCTCTTCATGCAGATGAGTGGGTCTTGAATTAACACTGTCAGTCATTGGAAGGGTATTAACCAACTCTACCGTGTGGCTTTGAATTTTGGATCATATATGTGCTTTCACACTCTGTAGTCACAGGATACTGGGATCTAAAAGATACAGAGATCAAAAAATGCTTATGAAATGAGGGGTCCTTGGTGCTCTCTGAGCTTGGTTGTTTTCTTACAGATGTTTCATTACTCAAACTAGACAACATCATCATGGCTAGAAAGGAATGAGTTTTGTAGTGTGGAAGAGAAGGGAGGAGGAGGAGGAGGAGGAGGAGGAGGAGGAGGAGGAGGAGGAGGATGATTTTGGGGTCCTTGGTGCTCCCTATGCTTGGTTGTTTTCTTACAGTTTTATTACTCAAACTAGGTAACATCATCAGGACTAGAAGGAAGGGGAGTTGCAGAGAAGAGGAGGAGAAGGAGAAGAATTCTTAAAATACATTTAATGCCTCCCTAACATTGCAGAAGAGAGTTCTCTGTGGAAGTAAAGAGGTAAAGAAATGGGCATAATTTTAAAGCTAGAAGTAAAATGTGAGGACGCTCATGCAAGGGTCAAGAGAAAAATATAGGATTACATGTTCCATCCAATCAGAAGCAAAGAGAAATATATTTTTTCCAAAGACAATTTTTCCAGAGGTTCCAGGAACTGGATGACATCTCAACAATGCTTTGCAGTCTCCATCTGTGATAGCCGATGAGCAGTTTCACTGATTATGTCCCCTCAAGCTGGGGTCAGACAAAATAACCATTTAGATCAGGGTTCTTCAAACGTGGCCCTTTTATGACTTGTAGACTTCAACTTCCAGAATTCCTCAGCCAGGCAAGCTGGCTGAGGAATTCTGGGAGTTGAAGTCCACAAGTCATAAAAGGGCCACGTTTGAAGAACCCTGACTTAGATAGACCTTGTCCGGAACTATCTGCTGCCAACCAGAAAAACTCAAAACTTCTCTTTTTTTAGTAAGTTTTAGGATGGAAACTATGAAAGACCAACAGTGACATCTGGTGTCCAGAGAGTTGAAGTAAGATACCCTTTCAAAGGGGAGCAAATAAGGTTGAAAGAAAACTAGATGCATCTGGAGATTCAAAGGTCTACATCAATATGGGTTGCAGAGAACTAAAAGCTCACCTAAAATGGAGATATGAGAAGAGAACAGTGAGAACAATTCATCATTGGAACGCCTTGTCTCCGGAAACTGTGGATGCTCCATCACTGGAACTCTTGGAGAAGACATTGGACAGTCATTTGTCTGGAATCACACAGTGTCTCCTGCCATGGGCAGAGGACTAGAGGGTGGTGGAAATTCAGCCATTATGAACTTTGCCATCTGCTTGTAAGTAGCTTTTGGTAGTTCATTGTAACTTCGATAGTCACTAAACAGGCATAAACTGAGGGTTACCTGTTTATTTTGCATCTGAACTGCTTGTGTTTTTTTCCCCACCTCCTTCATTTTAAGGGGAGTGATTCCTGGATATTTTTCCCCCCACATTTCCATGCTATAAACCTTCTTTGAAAAATGCCTTTCTGGATCATGGGTGGCACTTGAAGTCCACAAAATGCAGGTTGTGAGCTCTGTGTGTTTTGTTGCTTATTGTGAAATTTCAGTTGGACACATAGGCCAACGAAAAGGGAAATGAAACCAAAGGAAGGGTTTTGGTCTCACTTCCCCACCTGAACAAATCACTGTGGAACTGACTACTCGTCCAGATGGAACAATAGTAGGTGGCTTCGTCTTCAACCAGAGCCCGAGTGATAGTCAAGGACAACACATTCCCTGATCTGGATCCAGAGAAACGTTCTGGAACCCCTGATAGTCTGGAACTAGTGTGATAGATCAGTCCTCGAGGTTGTTGCCCAGCTACCTGCTGGGACCACGAAGGTTCATGGCTATCCCCAAGATTTCCACCATCGTATCGACAAGACAGGGTGACTGTCCCTCCAGGTGCCACAAATTCTGAGTCCTTCAGGGACTGCAGTTGTTGAAGGCTGAGGTCTGAAAAGGGAGCAAGACATTGCTTGTTCAATAGAGGGTCAAAAGAACCACCACCAAGAATAGCAAACTCAGCTATACAGCAACATGGTGCTTCTGAATTTAGTTCTAGAAAGGGCTGTGCCCCTTCCAGAGGAATTTCTCTTACCAAGGGAGATCAGAAGAAGAGAGAAGAAGAGAAGTGCCTGGGACATGGTGGGAGAACTCAATGGACTAATCACTTCTCCAGAGCAAATGCATTTCCCCTTTGCCTCCTCTCCACCTCTCTTAAATCTCCAAGGGATAAGAGAAGACCTCCTCATGCAAATGTCTTGCTGTTGAAGTAGCAACCCAGCAGATTCGAGAGAGGAAAGGGAGCAGCTGCTAAGATACATCTTGTCTTAAACCAGGGCTTTTCAAACGTGTCCCTTTGATGACTTGTGGACTTCCACTCCCAGAATTCTGAATTTAGTTGGGAGTTGAAGTCCACAAGTCATCAAAGGGCCAGGTTTGAAGAGCCCTGTCTTAAACTCATTATTTTCTTAATACTTTGATTTTAAAAAAGACATTTTAGCTAGAACTCATGTATACATCTGCAGAATCATCTCTTTTTATCCTTCTTCATTTTAGTGACGTACTTAAAGTTGAGGTAGAAGATATACCGGTTAAAGAGAAGAGTTTGATGTTTCCAGTAGCTGATGGATTTCTCCTAGTAAGAAAGTATTGAGCACATGGACTGCTCAGGTCCACATCTAATGTAGGAGAACTACAGACAAGAAACAATGGATGGAAACTAATCAAGGTGAGAGCCAGCATAGAACTAAGGAGAAATTTCCTAATAGTTTCCTAATGTTTCCAGTGGGTGATGCATTTCTCCCAGTAAGAAAATGTTCAGCATGTGGTCTGTTCAGTCCCGCCTCTAATGTAGGAGAACCACACACAAGTCTACAGATCTTGACTAAGAGTTCATCCCTACATCCACCAGCCATGCCACAGGCCTGCCGCAGGGACCACTTTTTCATGCGGCGTTCTCCTACAATTCCTTTTACCGCCACCTCCTGTTTGGTGCTGAACCAACTGAAGAATCATGTCTACCTCCTCCAATTTCTCACCAGTTCTTTTCAGAGTTCCTGCCCAGACCACAAGAGTTCACGGGGCTGTTTGCTTCCCATGCCCTCTTCTCTCCTGGGCCTACCAACTCATTGGAAGAGACTCAGAGACCCCTTTTGAGATGGAAATAAACCTCTTATTGCAGGTTATTTTCTCTCCTGCAGCTCCAGCTAAAGTGTCCATGGCCCCAGGTCAAGGTGTGCTGCTTGTGGTTTCAAGCTGAAGAGGCAGCGAGGAGGCAGGGGGTCGGAGCTGGAGAGAGGCTGAGTCCAAGTGGACTGAACTTAAAGGAATTTCCCCTCTGCCACATCCGTTCAAGTGCCCCAGTCACAGATCAAGGTACGCTGCATGTGATTTCAGTGTGAAGAGGAAGAGTGAAGGTTATTGTCACGCTTCCCCCTAAGAATTTATCACTGTGCAACACAGTAGCTCCAGTGTTCCAGCTGCCACAGTAAGAAGGACATGTTTAGGTGGAGATTGTATATAAGTCTGGGGCATCCTGCTTGTCTGGACTTCAACTTCTAGACTTGAGTGATGGGCTTGAGGTTGAGGTAAAAGAGTTCATCCAAAGAGTTTCATGCTTCATGTTTTCATTAGATGATTTATTTCTCCTGGTAAGAACATTTAATAGGTGTAAGTTCAGTTCATCATCTGTTCTAGAAGAACCACACAGGATTGTGTAAATCTTTATGAGATGTTCATCCTAATATCCTGGTTCCTTGCACAAACATGCCCCAGTGACCCCTTTTTAGCCGGGGTCTCCATGCAGTCCCTTTTATCCCATCTCTAATCTGGTGTTGAAGCAGCTGCAAATCGTCTCTAGCTTCTCCGATTTTACGTCTTTTTCTTTCAAAATTTGTACTTTTATCAGGAGACGGCTGAGACCATGGATCTGTGGGATTCCCTACCCCCTTCTCACCCACACTCCAGTGCCCATCATCCCCCTTGAGAGATCACTTTGCAGAAAGAGATGAGCTTACAGGAGTTTCCCCTCTGTCTCATCCGTTCAAGTGCCCCAGTCACAGGTCAAGGTACGTTGCATGTGGTTTCAGTGTGAAGAGAGAGAGTGAAGGTTTTTGTCACGCTTCCCCATAAGAGTTCATCACTGTGCAACTGGGTAACTGCACTGTTCCAGCTGCCGCAGTAATAATCTGCCTCGTCTCCAACCTCCACATTGGTGATGGCCAAGGATCCTGTAGTGCCAGATCTGGTGGCAGTGAAGCGATTTGGGATCCCTTCTCCCCTGTTGCTGCAGCCATCACAGTGGACAAAATGAGGGCCTTTTCCTTCTTTCTGTTGATACCAGCCGATTCTGTTGGTACTCTGAGTTCTACAGGTGATCGTAATGGTTCCACCCAGGGAGATGGAGCTGGAGGGAGGCTGAGTCCAAGGGGACTGACCATCAGTGCCTTTAGATAAAGGTGGGAGGGAAGGAGAGAAAGAGTGAGGGGAGAGAGAAAGGAAGCAATGCTTATGGATCTAATGCACCTCCCTTTGCTCTTTGTCATTTCCCAGGGCGCCTGTTCTTAGGAGAATCACAGGCAGATTGTGTTTGGCCAATTACTTTACCTGTGCAGTAAGTGAGGACTGCCAAGAAAATCACAGCCCAGCCCATGGTCAGCTTTGACAAGGAATAATCTTTTGAGGAAGAAAATGATAATCTTCTTCAGATCTTCCTCTTTCCTTTCCTTAAAAGCTCTCTTCTTTCTCCTTTCATGCAAATGAGAGCCGCACTCATTGGTTCTAGTAGAAAGCTTTCTTTCCCAAAAGCATTTTGGGGTCTTCTGATGTAACCAATGACTAGAGAAAATGTTTGCATATCGGAGATTTGGAAACCAGGAGGAATTAATAGGTCTCCATTAAATATCACACCCTGCTGCTTGTGGAACAGGGGAACGTCTTCAAACACACTACAGTACACGTGAATTTGACACGGAAATGATGCGTGTAGTTATGTAATTCCACCTCAACAGCCTGTCAAACCACAAGTCTAGGGAAAAAGTGGAGGATCATAGTCCATTTGGATATAAGGGTCATAACCAGATCATAAGCAATCCTCCTATTCTTTTATTTAATAATTTCTGGAACAGGTCACTTGAAATATAGTTGTTGGACCTGACTATTTCCATTTATCATTCCTTACTTCGCCTCTTACGTGAAGGATCAGTGCCCGCCTCTCTCCCTTATTGTAGACAGAGGAAGGGAGTAGACTTTCAGGAGACACATCTGACTGTCCTTTTTGTTGAAGTCATATTTTTGAGAAGAAGCCTGGAAGGGCAGCAGCAACCTCTACTGGCCCAAAATATTGCCGCACCTGTGTTATCCCCACCTGGGCTGAAGAATCACTGGACCCTAAAGCATTTCCGTTTACCATGCATAGTTGACTTCCTCTGTGTGGAATCACTGCCTTCCTCCTTCCCTTACTCTAGAGGAAGAGATGAGACATTGCAGGAGCCCCATCTGGCCATCCTTTGGCTGAAGTTATTTTGGGGGGAAGCATGAAAGGGCGGCAGCAGCCCTTACTGGCCTCTGATTTTGCAACACCTGTGATATCCCCACCTGGGCTGAAGAAGTGCAGCATTTATGCTTCTTTGAGGACCGTCATCCTCCTTCTCCTCAAACGTCAGACGAAGGACAGGGGAAAAAAATAAGTTGAAGGAAAACAAGAATGGAACACAGTGTGTCTTCTTTATTCATTTTCTCACAGAAGACGTCACAAAACCTCTCGTTGTTTTTAATACTGCGAGTTGAAGAAGGACATGTTTAGGTGGAGATTGTATATAAGTCTGGGGCATCCTGCTTGTCTGGACTTCAACTTCTTGACTTGAGTGATGGGCTTGTAGTTGAGGTAAAAGAGTTCATCCAAAGAGTTTCATGCTTCATGTTTTCATTAGATGGTTTATTTCTCCTGGTAAGAACATTTAATAGGTGTAGGTTCAGGTCATCATCTGTTCTAGAAGAACCACACAGGATTGTGTAAATCTTTATGAGATGTTCATCCTAATATCCTGGTTCCTTGGCACAAACATGCCCCAGTGACCCCTTTTTAGCCGGGGTCTCCATGCAGTCCCTTTTATCCCATCTCTAATCTGGTGTTGAAGCAGCTGCAAATCGTCTCTAGCTTCTCCGGTTTTACGTCTTTTCCTTTCAAAATTTGTACTTTTATCAGGAGACGGCTGAGACCATGGATCTGTGGGATTCCCTATGCCCTTCTCATCCACACTCCAGTGCCCATCATCCCCCTTGAGAGACCTCTTTGCAGAAAGAGATGAGCTTACAGGAGTTTCCCCTCTGCCTCATCCGTTCAAGTGCCCCAGTCACAAGTCAAGGTACGTTGCATGTGGTTTCAGTGTGAAGAGAGAGAGTGAAGGTTTTTGTCACGCTTCCCCATAAGAGTTCATCACTGTGCAACTGGGTAACTGCACTGTTCCAGCTGCCGCAGTAATAATCTGCCTCGTCTCCAACCTCCACATTGGTGATGGCCAAGGATCCTGTAGTGCCAGATCTGGTGGCAGTGAAGCGATTTGGGATCCCTTCTCCCCTGTTGCTGCAGCCATCACAGTGGACAAAATGAGGGCCTTTTCCTTCTTTCTGTTGATACCAGCCGATGCTGTAGCTACTCTGAGTTCTACAGGTGATCGTAATGGTTCCACCCAGGGAGATGGAGCTGGAGGGAGGCTGAGTCCAAGGGGACTGACCATCAGTGCCTTTAGATAAAGGTGGGAGGGAAGGAGAGAAAGAGTGAGGGGAGAGAGAAAGGAAGCAATGCTTATGGATCTAATGCACCTCCCTTTGCTCTTTGTCATTTCCCAGGGCGCCTGTTCTTAGGAGAATCACAGGCAGATTGTGTTTGGCCAATTACTTTACCTGTGCAGTAAGTGAGGACTGCCAAGAAAATGACAGCCCAGCCCATGGTCAGCTTTGACAAGGAATAATCTTTTGAGGAAGAAAATGATCACCTTCTTCAGATCTTCCTCTTTCCTTTCCTTAAAAGCTCTCTTCTTTCTCCTTTCATGCAAATGAGAGCCGCACTCATTGGTTCTAGCAGAAAACTTTCTTTCCCAAAAGCATTTTGGCGTCTTCTGATGTAACCAATGACTAGAGAAAATGTTTGCATATCGGAGATTTGGAAACCAGGAGGAATTAATAGGTCTCCATTAAATATCACACCCTGCTGCTTGTGGAACAGGGGAACGTCTTCAAACACACTACAGTACACGTGAATTTGACACGGAAATGATGCGTGTAGTTATGTAATTCCACCTCAACAGCCTGTCAAACCACAAGTCTAGGGAAAAAGTGGAGGATCATAGTCCTTTTGGATATATGGGTCATAACCAGGTCATAAGCAATCCTCCTATTCTTTTTTTTAACAATTTCTGGAACAGGTCACTTGAAATATAGTTATTGGACCTGACTATTTCCATGTATCATTCCTTATTTCGCCTCTTACGTGAAGGATCAGTGCCCGCCTCTCTCCCTTATTGTAGACAGAGGAAGGGAGTAGACTTTCAGGAGACACATCTGACTGTCCTTTTTGTTGAAGTCATATTTTTGAGAAGAAGCCTGGAAGGGCAGCAGCAACCTCTACTGGCCCCAGGTATTGCTGCACCTGTGTTATCCCCACCTGGGCTGAAGAATCGCTGGACCCTAAAGCATTTCCGTCTACCGTGCATAGTTGACTTCTTCTGTGTGGAATCCCTGCCTTCCTCCTTCCCTTACTCTAGAAGAAGAGACGAGACATTGCAGGAGCCCCATCTGGCCATCCTTTGGCTGAAGAGGCAGCCCTATTGGCCTCTGATTTTGCAACACCTGTGATATCCCCACCTGGGCTGAAGAAGTGCAGCATTTATGCTTCTTTGAGGAGCGTCATCCTCCCTCTCCTCAAACATCAGACGAAGGACAGGGGAAAAAAATAAGTTGAAGGAGAAGAAGAATGGAACACAGTGTGTCTTCTTTATTCATTTTCTCACAGAAGACGTCACAAAACCTCTCGTTGTTTTTAATACTGCGAGTTGAAGAAGGACATGTTTAGGTGGAGATTGTATATAAGTCTGGGGCATGCTGCTTGTCTGGACTTCAACTTCTTGACTTGAGTGATGGGCTTGAGGTTGAGGTAAAAGAGTTCATCCAAAGAGTTTCATGCTTCATGTTTTCATTAAATGATTTATTTCTCCTGGTAAGAGCATTTAATAGGTGTAAGTTCAGTTCAACATCTATTCTAGAAGAACCACACAGGATTGTGTAAATCTTTATGAGATGTTCATCCTAATATCCTGGTTCCTTGCACAAACATGCCCCAGTGACCCATTTTTAGCCGGGGTCTCCATGCAGTCCCTTTTATCCCATCTCTAATCTGGTGTTGAAGCAGCTGCAAATCGTGTCTAGCTTCTCCGGTTTTACGTCTTTTCCTTTCAAAATTTGTACTTTTATCAGGAGACGGCTGAGACCATGGATCTGTGGGATTCCCTACCCCCTTCTCACCCACACTCCAGTGCCCATCATCCCCCTTGAGAGATCACTTTGCAGAAAGAGATGAGCTTACAGGAGTTTCCCCTCTGCCTCATCCGTTCAAGTGCCCCAGTCACAGGTCAAGGTACGTTGCATGTGGTTTCAGTGTGAAGAGAGAGAGTGAAGGTTTTTGTCACGCTTCCCCATAAGAGTTCATCACTGTGCAACTGGGTAACTGCACTGTTCCAGCTGCCGCAGTAATAATCTGCCTCGTCTCCAACCTCCACATTGGTGATGGCCCAGGATCCTGTAGTGCCAGATCTGGTGGCAGTGAAGCGATTTGGGATCCCTTCTCCCCTGTTGCTGCAGCCATCACAGTGGACAAAATGAGGGCCTTTTCCTTCTTTCTGTTGATACCAGCCGATGCTGTTGGTACTCTGAGTTCTACAGGTGATCGTAATGGTTCCACCCAGGGAGACGGAGCTGGAGGGAGGCTGAGTCCAAGGGGACTGACCATCCGTGCCTTTAGATAAAGGTGGGAGGGAAGGAGAGAAAGAGTGAGGGGAGAGAGAAAGGAAGCAATGCTTATGGATCTAATGCACCTTCCTTTGCTCTCCATCATTTCCCAGGGAGCCTGTTCTTAGGAGAATCACAGGCAGATTGTGTTTTGGCCAATTACTTTACCTGTGCAGTAAGTGAGAACTGCCAAGAAAATCACAGCCCAGCCCATGGTCAGCTTTGGCAAGGAATAATCTTTTGAGGAAGAAAATGATCACCTTCTTCAGATCTTCCCCTTTCCTTTCCTTAAATATCCTTCTTAAATGCACCTTCTTGCAAATGAGATTTGCACCCATTGGTTCTACCAGTATTTTTTTATTCCCAGGAAGCCTTAGGATGCCTTCTAGTTTAACCAATGAACACGGGGTACATTTGCATACAGGAGATTTGAAAACTGGAGGTGACTTAAAAGCTCCCAGTGAAACCTTAAGCATCCTGTAGTTGCTCAAGGGAACCGTCTAGATTTCTATATGAACGTGACTCAACAGAAGAACAGAGTAACAGAATAACAGAATAGCTGAGTTGGAAGGGACCTTGGAGATCTTTTAGTCCAACCCCCTGCTCAAATTATAAGGATTGTTCTGAACCTCTGAGGATGGAGGAGGAAGGGTCTTCTCACAGTGCCCCAAGCCAGTTGACCCCTATGAAATATGTCACAAAACCATCTTCCACAGCAATGTCTCAAATCAACAAGGGTCTTGATACATAATGCTTGTTTCTCTAAATGCAATAACAGTGCCATTCAAATGGCGAGAGAATAACAGAATAGCAGAGTTGGAAGGGACCTTGGAGGTCTTCTAGTCCAACCTCTTGCTCAAGCTGGAGACCTTACACCATTCTGGACAAATGGCTGTCCAATCTCTTCTTGTAAACCTCTCGTGATGGAGCACCCAGAACCTCTGGTGGCAAATTGTTCCACTGGTTAATTGTTCTGTCAGGAAATTTCTCCTTAGTTCTAGGTTGCTTCTTTCCTTGATTAGTTTCCATCCATTGTTTCTTGTCCCGCTTTCAGGTGCTTTGGAAAATAAGTTGACCTCCTATTCTTTGTGGCGGCTTTAATGAGTCCCTAGCAAACATCCCCGAGGTTTCATCAAGGAATGTAAGAAAAACAAAACTATATTCATGATAAATAGATGGACTTTGTGAATGAAAATCACTTGAATAGGATGCTCCTCTTCTCTTGTCTTAAGTTAAACAATACTGAACATTTGTCCCTTTATGTCAAATTTCACTGATGTAGAAGGGGGGGGGGGGAGTGAACTAAACTGAACTGAAACGAAGAGAAAGTTTTTGTCTCACTTCCCCATCCGAACGAATCACTGTGGAGCTGACTACCCGTCCAGACACAACAGTAATAGGTGGCTTCGTCTTCAATCTGAGCCTCAGTGATAGTCAAGGACATCACATTCCCTGATCTGGACCCAGAGAAACGTTCTGGAACCCCCGATGGTCTGGTACTTGTAGTATAGATCAGCGTTCGAGGTTTATTCTCAGAGATCTGCTGTGCCCACCAAGGGTAGTTTCCATCCCCAAGATTTCCACCATCATATCGACAAGATAGGGTGACTGTTCTTCCAAGTGCAACAAATTCTGGGTCCTTCAGGGTCTGCAGTTGTTGAAGACTGGGACCTGAAAGAAAGCAAGGGAGTGCTTGTTCAATGGAGGGTCAAGAGGATCAGAAGACCACGTATGGCCAACTCAGCTATCCAGCAAGGAGGCTCTTTGAGTTTAGTTGTAGAAAGGATGGTGCCTCCTTCCAAAGCGACTTCTCTTACCAACAGAGATCAGGACTATGGAGAGAAGAAAAAGCTGGGTCATGATGGAAGAAGTCAATGGGCCAATTCCTTCGCTAAAGCAAATGGATTTCCCCCTCGACTCCTCTTCACCTCTCTTAAATTCCCAAAGGACAGGAGAGGACCTCCTCATGCAAATATTTGCCTCTTCAGCTGCCAACCCAGCCCTCTGGGGGTCTGCTCAGAGAGGCGATGAGCAATTGCTAAGATTGTCTTGTCTTAAAAAACTAATATTTTTCCGCCATGGGAGGAAAGGAAGAGACGAGAATTAGCTGTTTAATAGACCAGAGGCTGTGTGAGGTTCGTTCCATGAATCCGTTTTGATCTGCTTGAGTTTACAAAGTCATATTACCAACATTTATTTATGCGATGGATTGCAGGAATGTATCTCACATTCATTGACTAATTCACTTGGTTCAAGGAGAGGAAGTCTCCCTTCAAGACCACCAGTCTAGGGGAAAAGAGGAGGGTCATACTCCACCTGAACATATGGACTAGGGCAGGTCATCAATAATCCTCGTATTGATTTTTCTTAATTTTTGGAACATACCACTGGAGGCAGAATTGTTGGATCTAACCATTTCCTTTTATCCTGCATTATTCACTGACGATGTGAATGGTCAGGGTCCTCCTCCTTCCCTTACTCTCAAGGAAGAGATGAGACATTTCAGGAGCCACATCTGGACAAGCTTTTTTTTTTTTTTATTGAAAGTTTTATAAATTTTACAAAAAGACAAAAACAATACAAAACAAAAGGCAACATATACAAAAAAGAAACTAAACATTACATATATATATAAAACCCCCCCCCATCCCCCACCCCTCACAAAAACCCTCCCTTCCCCCCCCTGAGCTTCCCAGAGCAGAATATAGGCTTAATTAAAAATTAAGAAATAAAAATAAAAAATTAAATTAAAAAATTTATATTTATATATATATATATAAAAATATCTATATATATATATAAAAATAAAACTTATAAAAAAGCTATGTGATATTTTTGTATACCCAATCTAAATTGTATAAATTTTATCCATTTGTCCCAAACAGCAAGGAACTTCTCTTGCGTTTGTTGCTTTAAGAAAGCCGAAATCTTTGCCATTTCCGCCAGATAAGCTACTTTAAGAAACCATTCCTGCAATGTAGGCAAAGATTCCTTCTTCCAATATTGTCCTACTAACAGCCTGGCGGCTGTAATCAAATTTAACATCAATACAACCTCCTTTGTATCACAATCTGTAACAATGCCTAACAAAAATAATTGCGGAGTAAATTTTACCCTCCTTCTAAAAATTCTCTGGATATTCCACCATATTTTGATCCAAAATGCTTTTATCTCTCTGCATGACCACCAAATATGATAATAGGAAGCATCCTTATAACCACATCTCCAACATTTGGGTTGCACGTCAGGGTACATAAGAGACATTTTTTGTGGATCAAGGTGCCATCTATAAAACATTTTATAAAAATTCTCCCTAAGGTTCTGTGCTTGTGTAAATTTGACATTTCTCACCCAAATGGTTTCCCAAATGTCCAATGAGACTGGGACACCAAAATTCTGTGCCCATCTAATCATACAATCTTTAATTAATTCCGTTTCTGAGTCCATTTCAACTAATACCCCATAAATTCTCTTGATATGGGTTTGTCTTTGATCCTTGACTTGCTTAATAAGATTTCCATCTTCTCTAAGAAAACCCAATTTACAATCCACCTTCCATTTATCTACTAGTTGCCTATATTGAAACCAAGAATAAATAATATTTTCTTGCGCTAAATCTTCCCGTAATCTTAACTGCCAGTTTTGCCCATCCCATCTAAGTAACTGACTATAAGACACCATGTCCATTTTTACTCCTCTTTTTATTCCTTCTATCGCATGCCAAGGTATAGCCCATAATGGAACTTTAAAATCACTTTTATAATATTTTCTCCAAATCCTAAGTAAAGAAATTCTTAAAATATGAGATTTAAAGACCCAGTCCATTTTTTTATTAAATATTAAATAGGCATGCCACCCATAAAGTAAATCCCATCCCTCTAAATGAAGTATCTCAGGATTTGTCAAATTTACCCATGGACAAGCTTTTTCTTATGTCCTTTTTTTTTTTTTTTTTGCACAAACATGAAAGGGCAGCAGCAACCCCTACTGGCCACTGATTCTGCAACATCTGTGTTATTTCAAAACTGGGCTGAAGAAATGGAGCGTTTGTCATCCTTTGAAGACCATCATCGTCCTTCTCCTTAAATATCAGAGGAAGGACAAGAAAGAAAGAAAGAAAGAAAGAAAGAAAGAAAGAAAGAAAGAAAGAAAGAAAGAAAGAAAGAAGGAAGGAAGGAAGGAAGGAAGGAAGGAAGGAAGGAAGGAAGGAAAGAAAGAAAGAAAGAAGAAAGAAAGAAAGAAAGAAAGAAAGAAAGAAAGAAAGAAAGAAAGAAAGAAAGAAAGAAAGAAAGAAAACAAGAATGGAACAAAACATCTTTCCTTTATTAACTCTTTTACAGAAGATCTCCCAACGTCTCCCTTAATGTTTTTAGAACTTTGATTCCAGTTAGAGATTATCTATAGGTCTGGGGCAACATCCTTGCCTGTGCTTGTCCTTCTTGACTTTAGTGGTGTGCTTGAGATGCAGCTAAAGGAGGTACCTGCTCATCAAGAGATTTTCATGTTTTCCTTGGCTGATTCATTTCTCCTGGTAAGAACATTTATCTCATGGTCTGTTCAGTTCAACATCTAATCTTCGAGAACCTCATGTGAGTGTGTGCCAATCATTACAAAGTGTTCACTGTTACACCCTCTAACCTTGACCCAAACGTGCCCCAGGGGCCACTTTTTAGCCTGAGTCTTCATCAAACCCCTTTTATCCCACCTCCAGTCTAGTGTTGAAGCACCTGCAAAGCATCTGTGGCTTCTCCAATTTTACATCTTTTCCTTTGATGGTTTTTACTCAAACTATGGGAAACGGAGGCTCTGAGTCCCTGGACTTCTCCTGTGCCTTTCTCTTCCCTTTAGCTGTATTTATCATCCCCCTTCATAGGGACAGAGACACTTTTTGCAGATGGAAATGAACCTGCAGGAGTTTCTCTCCTTTCTTCAACTCAAGCTTCCCCAGTCACTGGTTAAGGTACGTTGCTTCTTGTTTCAGCTGAAGAGGAAGAGTGAAGGTTTTTGTTGCACTTCCCCATAAGAATTCACCACGGGGGAACACGTTGCTTTTCCAGCTCCCACAGTAATAATCTCCCTCGTCTTCAGCCTCCGCATTGGTGATGGCCAAAGATCCTGTAGTCCCAGATCTGGTGGCAGTGAAGCGATCTGGGATCCCTTCTCCCCTGTTGCTGCAGGCATCACAGTGGACAAAATGAGGGCCTTTTCCTTCTTTCTGTTGAAACCACCGAATGGCATCAGTACTCTGAGTTAAGCAGGAGAGTGTAATGGTTCCATCTAAGGGCACGGAGCTGGAGGGAGGCTGAGTCCAAGTGGACTGAGCACCGATG